TAGGCATGCTACCAATGTAGCGCTATCTCAGCAACTTCTGTGATCACTGACTCTAAATGTAGCGCTCCCTGTTAATATTTCATTTTTAGTGACTTGTATTTACAACTGTTGAATGGAGCTGTAGTAGATAGGTTGACTTAGTTCAAACTTTCATGCTTCCCTGATGATTGATCCAGTGGTGTCTGATACGGAAATTTCCTCTAGCGCCACCAGCGGGCGGAGTGGAATATCTTGACAACAATTGAAAGAAATGCTAGAAAATTTGCTATAGATCTTTAAGGAGGATACCCGGCATCTTTGTATCTTGCAACTAGCATTTTCATCAACCTGAGCTGTACGCAGCTAACTACATGCTAGCAGGTTAAAGTGAACTTTATAGTCTAATAAATGTTACTTGCTAAACATGATATGATGAGTTAACACACAGAGAAAAGTTATATATTACACATACATACAAAACAAAATCATATAGCAAAAGAAATATTCCACAATTCTGGACTAGGTCTACATATTTGAAAAGGAGTGAGAAGAAGTAGATAAACACTTATTTAATCCCACCCCTTTTCCATAAATCACTGATTGATAACTTCCAGTTTCCTAAATATATAGATTCTTTGTGTAGTTGTTATATTGGTGACCTTCAACTGACATATCTCAGATCATTACACTTACCTAAATGATAGTTGTTGCTTGTGTATGTATTAACTCGACTGTATGTGTTTGACTTTTTCTCTTCCAGGTGTGGGACCAATCATCTGTTTGAGACACAGCAGAGCCACATACCCATTACGGACAGAGAAAGTCATCTTTGGAAAGAGAAAGGAAGGAGCAGAGAACCAGTGAGAATGTCACCAACTCATGATGAAACACTGCCACACATCTGTTTTGCCTGAAATCAAAACTGAAAAACCCACAGAGGAAAACATCCGCAGCTGTCAGAACATAGAGCGAGACCTAGGGAAATAAAGAGATGTCATTCGAATCAGGTTATCTTTTTCAATAAAGGTCAACAAAACGCCATATTAACAACTTGAGCAGGGTTTTTTCCAACGTATTTGAGCATGTATTCTCCACTCCGAGAAGGGATTAGTAGTTAGATATGATTTGTTCTTCTACAAAGAAAATCTGAGATATGAGATCTCGAGTTACAACTTGACTTGTTGGGTTTTGCTAGCTTCAGTTAACTCCAGACAGCAGTGACGACACTAGATAAGCACAGCCGTAGCAACTTTATCTTGCAAGTCATGCCTAAATGATTACTAAGTCACCAGTGGCAAGAGGTTTACACAGAATAACATTAACACAACTGGCTCCTTTCCACACTTCAGCTCTGTCCACAGTAGCTATAGATCAGGGCAGATGTGTAGCAGGTCACCTATTGTACATCTAGTCGTACTTCTGGCTCCAGCCCTGCGCTCACATGTCAACACGCAATCATTATCGGCTAATTACAATCATTTTCAGCTCAGTCGTCTGTCGAGACTTTGATCAGTTATGCTGGCAGGACTTGGCTGGAGCACAAAATAACTGAATAAAAATTAAATGAACCCTCCCCGAACAATCCGCCCCGTAGAACCACACAACAGATGATTGTCCGCCCTCAGATAGGTTGACACTAAAACTGCACTACCCACAATCCCCAGCAGCAATGGAGCAGGACCTTTCTAATCCTCCAGAACGCTATCTGACTGTAAATAGACGAGACATAATTTTATATATATTGAGAAGGAATTTCAAGGCTGGATAAGCCATGTCTATTTTTGTTAAAGAAAAAAGTGATAACGTGTCCTCTTGAATGTCCGATGAGTATTCTTTTAATATGTCCAAATGTCCTTTATCAAGTGAGTGATTGTATCTGGATCAAACTCGTGTATGCACTTCCATGTGTCAAAGGCAAAACCTCAGTGCTGAATTAAATGATGGGAGGGAAAAAAGAGATCATGTTTGAAGCTTACAACATAGTACTTGAGCATTTCTTTTTGTACAATGTCCCTTATTATTGTATATAACCCAAAATTGTTTAAGGTAAAGATGAAAATAATCTTTGTTTTCCTTTCCTGATTCGTAAATGGCATGGATATGTATATCTGAAATGAAACAGAGTGTTGTCTTCTGCTTCTGCCTCATTTGGGTTCTATTTTTATTCCACAATTTAACGACGAAGCACGTGAATTATATCTCCTTTCTTTTAGCTATTACCTATTTACACAGTGAATTCATGATATAATTGCTAAATCTCTTCTTTTGCTTTTATTAAGGCACTCTTGGCGAGTTAAAACGTCCAGTCTGATCTGAAAAAGCTAAAATCCATTTAAACTTAGTTGTTTCACTCAGCTGAGGTGATTTTATTTCTGTATATCACATCTGATCTATAGAAATAGAACATTTTTGTGGTTTTTAGTCATGTTTCTTGAATGTAAGCAGATGAGATGCGACACTTTAACTTGCCCGGTGTGTTTGTCAACAGTAAGGCACTCGTTAAGAAGACATTTCTTCAATTTTGACTCAACTATGGTCCTTTTAAGACATTGGGGAAAGAAAAAAAAAACGTCCTGAATGTATTTAAGCCAAGAAGATTGGAGCGGATTCTCTGGTATTATCAAAAAGCACCCAGTGCTACAGATTGCACACATTTTCAGCTGGCCTCTATAGGACTCTGTACAAAAGGGTTTTCCATCTTGTTTGATTTTATTTTTATATTCTTTTTAATATGGATTTGCTTTCACATGATCCTGAATCATAATGCTGTAACGCTGGATATGATATTGATGTCTGCTAACAAATGATTTATTAGCGTTCCCTGTAGAGATTTTGTCACAGAATATTAAATATTATAATCATTGTCTTTCACTTCTAATTTGCCTCCTTATTTTGTACTCGTGTGCCTGTGTAGATGGTGTGAACTTCACGGCCTTTGTTGCTCTCTCTACAAAAAGACAAAAAAGAGAGAAAATGTTGGTATTTGAAGCCATTTTCCCTCTTATCGTGTGCGTCTAGACTCTTTAGGACTGCCAGCGAACTGGCCATTTGTTCACGTCCATTGTGTTAGAAGAGGTTAGTCTATTTATAGGCGTCTGATCGCAGCGCTCAGCCAATGAGACAATAGCCTGCCATTCCAGTAGCTGCAGCGGCTGCTCGGAGCTAAAGCAGAGAAGTTTTCAACAGTAGCATCTGCCTCTGTTAAACAATAACTCGTCTAATTCCGACCCCCTTGTCCGCGACATGCTGTGACATGACACCGATGACATCTGCCGTTAGTTCGTCCGCGGCCGCGTATCTGACAGTGAGAGTGTAAGGAGGCTTTCAGCACCTCTCTTTATATAGATCACACACCTGTGGCCTCACCTCCTAACCTCGGCCCATTCAACTCATTTTCACACACTGTCACTTTTCTCGACCTGGGAGCCGCAAGTCACGCTGGATGACTTGTTAATGGTGCAGAGACATGGCACATTGTAAGGACGTGTTCAGTGTCAGCAGTGTCACACTTCACTATGTCACACCTACCGCTGTTGACATCCCTCAGCTTAGTTTCACAAGCTCTGTCATGCCAATGCCGGCGTGCAGAAGACTGAAGGACATGATTTGAATTGATGCTGTTGCTCCCTTTGCCTGTATTCTGTTTCCTCTCATTATCTGTTTTAAGAATTTAAAGACTGCATGTTTTCCCAAATGGTTTCAGGGACAGAGTGGCTATAATATTTTCTCCATAACCACCCTTAGCTTCAGCAAAAATGGTAATGGGGTAGAGAAAATCTGACACTTAATTTCCTTGAGTATCAGTAAGCAGATTGTAGAATTTCTTTGTCAGGGAGGCATGTGAGCAACTCTGGCTGTTACGCCATCCTGACAGGTCAGTAAATGATTTTTAAGCACTTATCCTTTTTACCAAATGGGGAAAAGAAATCATTGAATATCAAACCAAAGAGCTGCTAAAGATTTCATTGGCAAGAGTTGGTGAATTCCAGCTCCGCTACACCAGAATGTAGGATTTCTCACCTGGTTTTCTAAGCATAAATTATGAGTCAGAAAATATACTGACCTCTGAAATGTTGTCTCTCAAATGGAGTGTTTCTGTCATCTGTTGAACTAGTGTTGCTTTGGATTAAGTACAAAATGTAGTATATACTGTATAAACAATCTGTCGTGTTGATAACAAGCAGAGCAGCATTTCTTTCTTTTTTTTTTTCTGCAGCCGTTACTTCTTAATCTAAGAGGCTGTTTGAAGGTAAAGGTTCCCAAGCTCATTTCTTATTGAGAGGCAGTGCAGCAGTGGAGGCACTTCATCAGCTTATATGAAGCTCTGTTTGTTTGATAAGATGTAAGCAACTTTAAATCTATAATATAGAAATGTACGATATGTGTTCACCTATATGTTCACCAGTCACATACCAGTGATTATTTGTTATGCAATCAGCTTGTCCCTAACTTTCAGCTCCCACTTTGCTAAATTTGAACTTTTGAAGAACCTGGATGATCCACATCAAACATGGTCCAAATATTCTGTTGTAAAATCCCCTGTATTATCAGAGGGAGTCTAATGAGTTTTCTGATATTCTGTTTTGTCTCTTTCTTTCATTTCCAGTAGAAGTCTGTTCAACTTTCAGCAAAAACAGCACAATTTGTCTTTGACAGACAAAGAAAAAAAAAGAACTACACTGAAATATAGACCCACCAGTTTGGCAGATTTTACATTCTGCCTTTTGTTTTTGAATTTACATCACTTCCACTCACTTAAAACCATTGCTGCCTAACATTTAGACAGTCAAGACAATGGTCTGTGGACAGATTAAGTGCTTTAACCTTCAGCCTGCTCTTGATATTCTAGACCAGTTATTCCACTCTCTTTGTCCGATGTCCATCGTGACCGCACGGGCAGAGTGGCTGAGAGATGTGTGTGTGCATGTGGGTGTTGTTGTCGAGCATTCAATTCTGTATGTGCTGTATGAAGCATCATTTACCTGTCACTTCCTAAAGAGGACATAGTTTATAAATATCATCCAGTGGAGCTGAGGGTTGGGGCTACAAAAGGCCACCCACAATCTTCCCATTGTTCACTGGCATCATTGTTGGTCTGACCTCCCAGCTGCTCAGCCATGGTAAGACATTCTGTGTATATGTGTGTGTGTGTGTGTGTGTGTGTGTGTGTGCTGTTAGTTTGTGCGAGGACAGGTGTGGGTTGTTGGCTACAAGGATGCTGCTTTTGTTTTGGATAGATGAATATATTAGAGAACTAATATTCCAACGTTTTCTTTGATGATTTGTAAGATTCACTGAATACCAAGTAGAAGTACTCTTTAACTACCCTGATGTGTCCAACACACACTGATCATTATAGTTTATGTACTTGTGCTGCTGTACACAAACTATTTTCACCGCTTTCTTTCATTAAACCACATAATCTGCTTTATTTCTGTTGTTTGACACGTAGCTTTACCTCAATGAGCATATAGTTTCTGCATCATCTCTCCTCCTTTCTTCACGCTAAAAAAAAAAAAAAGGCCCCCAAGAAAGCCAAGAAGAGGACAGCAGAGGGAGCCAACTCCAACGTGTTCTCCATGTTCGAGCAGGCACAGATCCAGGAATTCAAAGAGGTGAAAGCTGCTGAACCAATTTTTATTTCACTAATTTGCATTTGGCTGAGAATGGCATAAAGGAAAATAAAAAATGTGGAGGGATGTGCGAGCCAGCTCACCGTGTCAAGGATTGTGATCCAAGTGTTTTCTGCATTGAAAATATAAAAGCAATGCGCACAGAAAGGTCTCCGCTTTCCCCGCCATGCCTTTCCTTTTCCGTTGTTCATTGTTGTAGTATGCCCACCTGTCTAGTTCCCCGTCGCTGGCTTGACAGCAGTGAGGCTGCTGGTATGCTGGAATGAGGGTCAGCGGTGAGACGTCCAGACTGTGTCATCAGTGATTAGGCTGCAGATGAACTGCTGGGCATGCCCCGGATGCCACACTGAATCCGAGGGGGCTTTTGCGTTATAAATACTTAGGAGTATTCATCTGTAAAGATGGCGCATGAAATATTCAAGGGGAACCTAAAAATGAGTTCTGGATGGGCTCAGAACATGGCTTTACCATACAGAGAATCACTCATGTGCTGCATCTTTACCTCAAGGCCTTCACCATCATGGACCAGAACAGAGACGGCTTCATTGACAAGAATGATTTGAGGGACACCTTTGCTGCTTTAGGTATGTTTACATCACTCACATTCAGTCTCACAACATGCTGCATTATGTTTTTATTGCCTGCAATGGGGGTGACTGTGAGGATTAATCATGAGCTAAAATGCAAAACAGCAAATCATCAGCACTCAGAGTTCATATTTTTCCTCCAACAACTGAATCCACCCAGTCTGCTTGTGCCGTATGTTCATGCTGAATATTTGGTGCTGCAGGACGTCTGAATGTGAAACAGGAGGAGATAGACGACATGCTCAAAGAGGCTCCTGGCCCGATCAACTTCACCGTCTTCCTCACCATGTTCGGCGAGAAGCTGAAAGGTGACAACGCATCAGCTGGAGATGCTAATTTAAAGCAGTAACGTTACATCTGAGTCACGTAAACAGACCATTAATCTAAATGTGTTAACGTCAAATGTGCAACGGCTGTTTTAACGCATCCAGGTGCCGACCCGGAGGAGACCATCCTCAACGCCTTTAAAGTCTTTGACCCGGAGGGGAAAGGGGTGCTGAGGAAGGACTAGTGAGTGCTTTAACACATTTCTCACATCAGATCAGTTTGAAATATGCAAATTCATTGGAAGCGTGGCTGAGCTTTCACTCACAATTTATGACTCAGTGCGACTGCAATCATTCATCCCAGTATAACTTCACAATGAGTAAAAGACCATTATGACCTGCACATTTCCTCCTGGTGTGAACACGTCATCTCATTTTTTCCCTTTCTCCTCTCTCTCCAGTGTGACACAGATGCTCACAACACAAGCCGACCGATTCTCAGCCGAAGAGGTACATTTGCAGTCTTTTTACACTAATTATTATAATTACAGCAGATTGCTGCGTGGGAGAGTCCAAAACAAAAAACAAAAAATACAAGCACCAACGTCACAGTGACGAGCAACTTTTAGGTCTACGTCAGACACATGCAAAACAACAAAACAACAACAAATGTGTGAATCATCATTACACTCTTTTGTGTTCAGGTGAGTAACATGTGGCCTTTTTGTTGGATAGATGGAGCAGATGTTTACTGCCTTCCCCCCAGATGTGGCAGGAAACCTGGACTACAAGAACCTGGTTCACATCATTACCCATGGAGAGGAAAAGGACCAGGAGTAAACCTTTTCATCAATGTAGTCATCAAATAGAAAGTCAGCCTCTTTACCCATTAATGACTCAAACCCGACCTGAAGGAGATATGGACTATTTACTCAACTTTTATGTTGGCTTCAGTGTTTCTGTGCAGTGCTCTCTCTCTGTCTAAAGACCACAGGAGGTTCCTGACAAAGTGTTTCCTAAAAAAAAGAACAATTGACGGCATCAGCATAGTCTTGCTCTCTTCTGCTTCATCCCACATTCACTAATTAAATTATTTTTCCTTATCATTTTATACACTGAAAACTACTCGCCTGTTTTATTGTCAAATCCACTTGTTCGGTCTGTGCATGTCAGTCTAATAAAAATTTTCGAAGACAAGCCACTGATTTTTTTGTTATTTCTGATTTTTGGAACATTTTATCGGAAGCTTTATTCATGTGAATGGTCCTCATGTGTTTATACAATCATAGGATTACTGCCTGAACGCACGACTATACCAGATATTCCATGTTAGGTAGTGAACTGTGCGGTTGGTGACCCTCTAAAACCCTCCCCAGGGCTCAGTCTGAACCATCCTTGCACCAGTGTTTGTGTGAGCGCACATGTGTGTGTTGTGAAAATGTTTGGCTACTGAAACAAAGGGCTTTAGCCAGACAAAGCCCTGTTGTTATTTTAGTGCCTTGCTGATGTGAGGAAGGTAATGCTATACTAAAGGAAGCCACCCAGTGATCCTCAGCGCCCTCGCCCACCCCGCCTGTCAGACCCCGGCGGGGTGGGTGATACAGGGCGTGAAAATCCCTGGTTGTTCCAGCTGGAGCGTCCACAGACTCCACACTAAAGCGTAGTGTGGCGCAGAGCGGACGAGCTACGTGGGGAATGGTGAGCGATGAGCGTCTGGATCAGCTCGGGTATTAGAGCTCGTATCATGTGTCCTGCTTTAACCGTCTCTAAGTACAGGCTGAGCGAGGGGAGACTTAGGCCACATTTCTCATTCAACCCCTTCTGCATGTAATCTACACTGCAAATCCAGCGACAAAAGGTAGACAAAGTTAGTAACTAGATGATGAACAACATAAACTGTGAGTGGAGACCAAAACAGAGCTCAAAAAACACACAGTGAATACTGGATTTAAATTCATCAGGCGGCTTGAATCACGATCCTGAACAAAAGCTAGTGTCACACTGTGTCTGCAGGGTGTGTAAACCGGGAATCACTTGCTAATGTATTTGTTAACATTAATTATAAAAGGTGATAATACGCCAGATGTTGTTTTCAGATTGTCATGCTCTGATCTCAAATGTGCAAGAAAAGGATGTTAATTAATGCACCTTTAATGTTTGAGTTCTCACATCAGATGCAGCAGAAGTACAGTCGTGCTCAAATGCATTCATACCCTTCCAATAAAGAAAAGGCAAAATTCACAATAGTCACTCAAATAACTAGAAACTGAAGAAAGTAATGATAAATAAAAATTTGATAAATTATAATTTAGGGAAATAAGACATTGCTTTTGAATTGTGGTTGAAAAAAATAATTACAAAAAAAAAAAAAAACTGTTCTGGACAAATTAGAGCACTTTGCTGATGAGCAGTGGGCCAAAATCAGAATACCTGTCAACAGGTGCAGAAGTCTGAGTTACAGAAAACACTTCCCATCATGGTTGTTTGCTTGTTGTTTTAAAAATATAAATATTTCTGTTCAACCACAATTCAAAAGCAATGTCATGATTTTCATTAATGTTTTATTTATTATTGCTTTTGTCAATTTCACCTTCTGTTAGTGACAGCTGTGTTTCACCTTCTTTAATGGGAGGGTATGAATACATTTGAGGACGACTGTATCACGGCGTTACTTACGCAACTGAAATAGATTTCTATCCCATGCGTCCCACTTTCTTTATCTTTGATATAAAAACTCTACCTGTAGGCTAATTCTGAATTCAATGACTGTGTTGTAAGCTACACGCAACAGAGCACCGGAGTGTGATGCTGCAATATGCCGTTTACCATCACACGTTCGCAGGAGTCTGCTTTTAAAATGAGATTTTACTCGACATTACAAAAGCAGTCCACAAAAAAGGGGTAGCTCAGACGATGACATCTTCTTGCAATATCTAATCTAAAACGCCACTGATAGCAGGAGTCGGCTGAGCTCGACTCCTCTGAACCACAACACACTGATTTCCTTGGAAGTTCTATTTTTCAGCTGAGACTACAGCACAGCAAAAGACAGGAAAGGTCAGATAATGTCTTCTGATAGGTGGACTGAGCTTGTTTTATCTTTATGTGAAGAATATTAACATATATCTTGAACAAAGCCAAAGGGATATACGGTGCAGTGCAATATCAAGCAACAAATGCTTCGACTACAGGAGATTTAAAACACTGACTTACACTTAGGTTTCCCATTAGGGAGGTTAAATAGTGACATATGGAGCAGTACACTGTGAGTATGTAGCTGCATAAAGTTAAGGTCAGACTGAATCCATGTTCTGAACTGGATGTGATTGAACAAATACTTCATATTTTTGGAAGTCTGACTCAGAGGCAGAAATGTTTAACCTCAAGATAAACTGAACTTCACTGACAGGCACAAGAAGGACAAATAAATCCTGTTTGGTAGAAACCTTTACTGCTGCACATTGGGTCACTTTCACATTTTTAGACATCTGTGGTTTGGCAGGATGTTCTTGCTTCAAAACAAAATGAAATTACGTCCGCTTGATGATGATGGTGGCAACGTCCAAGATGAAATTCTCTGATGTGTAGCTCATAATTCCCATGTGGTTCACACTTCTCTTCTTTGAGGCTTGACCCTCTTTTGCAGGGAGAATGTTCTGTAACTTTCTCCTCTTGAAATTTGATGTCATGGTCACAAACATACAAATGTCACATCTCAACCCTGCCAAAACCAGTTTTCCACATGCACACAAACACTTTGGTCTTCTGTGGTGTTTTACTGTGTGGCCAACTGTTTGTTGAATTTAACTTTAAAGTTGTTCCTTAGTATATGTCAATAACATTGCTGAGGATAATAACCTATTTGCCAAACATGGAGTAAAATCTTAATTGCATCTCGGAGAAATATCGTTACTCGGGCATTTCTTAGTTTCAAAAATAACCTGTGAAAACACTTAAATAATAGTTGTAGGACCACAAGACACATTGTGGTTTCACTGGTCAGAATAATGGCATATTGTTGTATATTAGTTTTATTATTATTATTATTATTATTATCAATAGTAGTAGTAGTAGTAGTTTCTATAACCACACAATAGACAAAATAATATGACAATAATTAAATTATATATTTTGGCAAGCCAAGCATTACTAAAGGCTATAAAATAATAACTGACTAAACTTTATTTATAAGTTTTCTGACTGTCACCTAGTCTGAATTTCTGTAAAAGTTTGTCTGTGAACACCCTCTAGTGGCCTGATGAAGAACATGAAAGATGAAATAAATCAAATGGGAGCCCTTAATGATAAACAAGTCCTCTTTACATGCCCTTATGGGACAACTTACAAGAACCATACATCTCAATTCTCAAGTAACTCCTCAAAAGCAAACCCCATAAATGTTCGACAGCCGGAAAAAAACGATAACTTCAACAGAAATCCTGTTGAGATTACATGAAAACCTCCAATAATCTCACTGCTGAACATCACACACTAATTCCCTGCAGGAATATTACGGCCGTCATTTATCGAGGGGAGTCTTTCACAGTGTGCTGAAGGTGCAATTAGCACTCTCTACAGAGCTTCTTATTGAGATTTAACACAGTGCTTAAGTGGCATTTAATCTATATTCACCATTGAGAAATAATGGATGAATTTTTGTTCTGTGAGAACTGTGGATTTGTGCTGAGTGTGAGGCTTCTTTTAGCCGCCAGGGGAAATGGGCTGGAAGCAAGTTCTGGGTTCACTCAGTAATGTGAGTGTCGGCATTGAGCTGACAAGAATTTCATGTTTGCTGTTTTTACTCCAGTTTTACTATAATGTGTTGACAAAAATATTTGGAAAAGTCCTTTAAGAGAAGATGCTCACATTTGTATTTTCCTTTGAACATATGTTCTTTATATTCACAGCATATATCAAACTCATGTTGATAATCGTGGGTTCAGAGGCTGAGTTGTGAATGGACAGTAAAGTTCATATTTGTATTTGTATCATCTATGCAATTACACTTGGCTGTTCTTAAAAAGAACCAAGAGGCAACAATGTCCTTTTCCACACATTCAGCAAGACAGATAGTATAAACACACACACACACACAAGCCTAAAGCATAAACTGTAAACAGTACACACAAAGTGATGTGGTTCAAACGGAAGGATGACGGGATAGAAACAATACTTAAAGTCACAAAAACGTAATCAGGCAACTATTTTATTTTGTATTTCTTGTCTATCTATCTATCTATCTATCTATCTATCTATCTATCTATCTATCTATCTAGCTGCTGTAACATGTGCATTCCCTGGTAAAGGTTGAACAAAGCTTATTTAATTCGTTGCAGAATGAACCAGGATCATTGCATTAAAATCAGCAAAATCTGGAAAAAGTTCACAGCTGACCCCCTCAGAATCAACTGATGTTTAGTATGTTTAAAGAAGCAATGCAAAATTTTCATACTATGTATATTTGTCTGAGTTACAGGTCTTAAAATCTTTACCACTTTTCTACTTCTTCAATAAATCTTGCTGCTGATTGGCTGGGTAAAGAAGTAACACAATGCAAATAAACAGATTACTGTAAACTCACTACATTTTTCTCTAGCGCAGTCATGCAACACATTGCTGTTCCTAAATTGAGTAATCACATTACAGTTACCGATCACTTCCAGTTACTACTCTCATTTAAAGTCAGTATAACCTACTCCCAGTACCACCTTGATTCTCTTAGACATGCAATTAAGCGTGTTTCTCACTATGGTATTTTTCTGTGACATAGGGGAGACCGGGGATGGTTGTAACAATCAGAAACGAGCAGTGGTGATGTCATCAATACAGTCCATGCCCACTTACAAATCGAGCTCACTGGTGAAGCCTTGTGTCTCTGAGTTGAAAACTGTCTGTTCTGGAGCCAAAAAACGATTTTTCAGGTAAAAAAGTAAAAGATTTTCATCACAAATATTTTTTGCATAGTGTCCATTGTGTTGTAGATGTAATTGTTTCACTTACATAAGCTCAAGTAGTAGTTTCTCTAGTTTAATTTGATGTGTTAGTGTTAGCTTTGAAGCTAAATGCTAAAAACAGTTCGCTTTTTAATGGCTGCCTGGCATTAGGAGGGTTGTGATGTTCTTTAAACCTTCCCCTTATGTTGACATTTTGTACTGGCCTCCTGTTCAAAAGTGGTTTGTTGATTGTTCCACATATCT